CACTACATACCACACACACCACACACACACACACCACACACACACCACACACACACACACACACACACACACACACACACACACACACAATGAAACAAATGTTTGTTTTTGTCTCCTAAGTGAGGGAAATGAATTCAAAGGACCAGGCAAAGCCAGGGTGTACTCTCTCCAACAAAGACAATCAGGGTTGAGCAGAATCGGAACCGGGTCTGCAACCAAGGAAGGAAGCACAGCAGTTAAGAACCCCCAGGAGACCTGGCTAGGCTGTGTTCTAGAACCTGAAAAAGGATCCAGAGGCCTAAGCAGGTCACAGGAAGAGTTCAGCGGTGAGGACGACATTCGAAGGTGTGTACCTCTCCCGCGGCATGAATGAGAATTCAACTCAGGGCAGAAAGGGGACCCAAGAGCCCTGAGAGCGGGACTACTCAGCTGTCCTTAACCAAGGAGTAGGCTCTTGCTTCTCTGAAACTTCCTGCCACCCTCTTCCTGTGCCCAGGACTCAACCTCTCTATTGTCACAAAGCTTGCTTAGCAGTGGCTCTGTGTGGCAAGCAAGGGCTGGCATGGGGAGGGGACAGTGAGTGAGGCCAGTGCCTCAGGAGAGACAGGAGGAGGGAGACGGGATGCTGGGCAGAGCTCAGGCCCCCAGGGCCGGGCTCTGGTGCACCAGGCTTCTCTGGGGCTCTGTTTCTCAACTGATGGTGGAGATGTGACATTGGTGGTAGGCTCTCTTGCCCTTTTCTGTCCAAGGAACCATTTCTTTGGGTCAGACAGCTAGAGGAGAAGTGGATGCTGTTTAAAAGCCTGTACTTGAGGAGCTGTCTCTTGGGGGTCCCAGGGGGCATCTTGGTGGGCTGACGTCTCTCCCTGCCTGCCCACTCACGTTCCCTCTGCCTCCTTGGCCTGCCAAGCTTGGGCAGCCTCCTGGCAAAGGGGGCCAGCCTCTCATGAAGCTCTAGCCTCCGCTTGTGGTCCAGCTCAAAGGACGGGGAAGATGGGCATGGATCCACCCTTCCATCCTGCCTCTGCAATAGAGCCCCGTGGGCTCCCGGCCACCCTGGTCCCTGCTCTACCAATAGATCTTCTGGCATCTTCCATATGGCACTGACCATAGATCAGCATTGAGAACAATGACAAGGCCAAGGAAGAAAGAGATGCAGGGCTGATCTCGGCTCGCGGGGCTGACCTCAGCTCGCGGGCCTGACCTCGGCTCGCGGGCCTCGGCTCTCAAGAGGTTGCCAGGTACACACGGGTAGAAGAGGCCACAGTGGGTCCTAGTAGAATGATTGTGCAAAAGTGCCCAAAGGCCTGCCGGGTGCCACAGTCCCGGCCTAGGTGAGCTACGAGGCCCAGTGACTCCATCCCAGAAACTCCAAGGCTACCCGGCCAGCAATAGGCAGAACCTGGGGAGCCCAGACCCAGGCCACAAGGTGTGGGATTCAAAGCTTCTGTCCAAGAATGCAAGTGGGCATCCTTCCTAGGAGACAGTTGGCTGAGGAAAGGGGGAGAGCAAGCGAGGGGCAGTGTGGGAAAGGTCTCACGGCACTTAACTCCATCTTGGTAGACTGGGACTTGTCCAGCAAAACCAGGAGTAAGAAGCTGAGCCTCCAAAGACACGCCCCCCACCCGAGGCGCTCCCCTGGTGGCCTCTGGCAAGAGCCTTACAGGCCAGTGCTCCCAGGATGTGCCAGGTTATTAGGCTACAGTGCCGAGAAGCAGAAGACAGAGGTGGGTGATGTCACCCAGGAATGAAGCAAGCGAGCCTGCTGATAACATCGGCAGCCAGGCTCACTGTGGGCAAGGTGACTCATTGGAGACAGCCGCAGCCACCGGGCCATTGTTATTGTGCCCAGTCGGTAGGACTGGGGGGGGGGGGTGGCTCCTGCAGCTGGGACAGGTCCCCACTGAGGCCTCGGTTTGGTGAGACCTCAGAACACAGTGTCCCCAGCCTCCGGCACCCTACCACCTCAGGAAACAGCCCTCTCCACAGCGGTTGCCATTATCTTGGTCCCCAGCATTTGGTGGGTGTCTGTGGGGGTGTGCCGGGTGATTTCCCTCCCCACCCACTGAGCACAACAGGTACCAGAGATTGCTAACAGCAACACACCAGTCGCTCCCCCCACCCCCCCGCCCCGCCACCGGGGTTGGACAACTAACTGTCTTTGGAGACAACACCGGATGACAAACTGCTAACCATGACCACGTGGCACCCTCGTGGAGGGTACAGCCTGTTCCTCCTGCTAAAGACACCCCTAAGCCTGCCTCCAATCCATGCATCTGTGCCACCCCAGGGCCCGCTGAGGCCAAAGTTTTGCCCTCCCCCCGCCTGCGGGGGGTACCACGCACTGTTGCCCAAGTTGGAGCTGGAGAAGACAGTGTCCATCTTTGAGGTCTCTGTCGCCAGACCACATGGCTAGTCGTGGTGGCCCCCGTTCCTTCTCTTTTTAAAAGAACTTCTCGTTCCCCTCAGCTGCCTGGAGTTATCTCTTTGGCTTGCCTTTAGTAACTCCGCCCTCTCACTGAACTTTCTCCCACTCAGCCTTCTTCCACGGCCCGACTTTCTTCATTCATTCATTCATTTATCTCTCCTGTGAAAGAACAGCTGGGTTCCTGCTAGGCGCTCCTCTAAGCAAGGGACCAGAGAGAGGAGGACCTCTGAGGGTCATGTTCCAGCTGGGGGATAAACAATAAGCAGATTAACTGGCTGCACAAACTAAGCAGCCAGCCCTGGTGGCACAGGCCCGTGATCCCAGCTGTCTGGGAAGCTGAGGCAGGAGCATGGAAGGGTCAGGCTGTGTCAGGGCCAGAGAGTGAGTTCAAGGCCGGCCTGGACAACCTGTGGAGAACTTGTATCCAAGTGAAAACATATGGAAGAGCTGGGTTACAGCATATGGAGGCTCCCAGCTTTTAATCCCTGCACTCGGGAGGCCGAGGCCACCCGGTGTCTGCCTGCGTGTTTGAGGCCGGCCTGATCTGGATCACAATTTCCAGGCTAGCTGGGGCTACACGGTGAGACCCTGCCTCAAAAGAAAAAGCACCAACAACAATAAAATTCAAGAAAACAAACAACAACAAAAAAGAGCGAGAGAATATTGCTTAATGACGGAGCGCTCGCTTGCCTAGCATGTGAGAGGCCGCGAGTGTGTTCTCTCCAACACTGGAAAAGGCAAACCGGACTAAAATCTGTAGGTAACGGCAAAAGTCAGGCAGAGGCTGCTGCAGCCGGGGCTTTCTGAGGCCAGCCCTGGAGGCAGTGATGGGGGAGCTTTCCCAGCAAAGTCCCTCCCACCAGGCTCCCTTGCCAAGGAACATCCTCCACCCCAGCAAGGTACTGCCAGGATCCCATGGCATGGCCCGGGGCGCTTGCTTCCTTCTTAACAAACAGGCGGCCTCTGAGGACTCCTCCAGGATGAATGAACTCTCCGACCCCTCCATACACCCCAGCTAGCGGGAGCCAAGGCGGGGCGGGCAGGTGGGTAGGCCTGCTCTGCTACCTATGAGCTCATCTCAGGCAGGTTCCCTAGCGTCCCTGAAATGGCTTCCTCGCCCCTAAAGGACAGGGCGGCATCGAGGCTCAAATGAAGACATGGCTGTGAGATTATCCGGCCCACAGTGGGTGACATCCGTCTTTCTTAGGGTGGCCCTTGGGGAAGGG